CTCAGATTACTTCCCTGATAATTTGAATCCTGGCGTTCTATAAAATTTACATACTCTGGCATTGGCATTCAGGGAAAAGAGGCTTACAGGAAGATAGACTTAAAATAAATGTTAGTTAAAATAAATATAAACCCTACAACTTTATTTTTAAAGTGAAATTTGATATTGTTTTTGCTTGATTAAAGCTTAGATATCCGGTGTTTAATCTGTGTTGTTGCAATTCGTACAGTTTCCTCCAAATGTCTCTCTGTCAGCCATCTTTTTGATTTTGGGATTTTCATTTTACTAAAAAGTTGTTCATATATGCATGTTTCGCCAAAAATAGAAGACATGAAGAGCGCATGTTTACGAATTCCTGGATACTTGTCTTCGTTCGAGTACTTCAAATAAAAATCAATTAATGTAAGATTTTCAAGAAACGTGCATTTTACTACAGAGTTACACTGTAAATCTATAAATTCTAATTGAAGTTAAATTAGAACACTTCCAACGTCTACCGAAAATGGTGAGGAGAACATTCTGATAAAAATTTCATTTTCACGAAAATCGGAAAATATTCTTTTGAGCTCCTCTTTCAAATTTGAAATATGGTTTTTAAAATGTTTTGGATAGAGTATTGTATTCTATAACGAATTACACCACCTGTTAGTCTGCATATATTTTAGAAATTAAATTAATGGCGAAATTCAATTTTTGACTTCTGAAATTTTATGAGTTTCAGCAGCTCACTTGAGTGGATCCTCTATACTTAGGTGAAAAATTTAATATGCGAGCTGCTGGAGTATAAAATAACTTTCACAATATTTAATGTTTTGCATAAATGTAAGTCTTTATTCTTGCAGTCTGATTTGGTAATTATGATAAATATGAATAAAAAAATATTTTTGATACAGTTCTCCAAATTTTCGATCATAATTGATTGAAAGCTCTTAAGTGGTTCTCAACCAAATGAATACTTCCACACATAGTCACCCTGTTTACATTCATGTCTGGGGATTTTCAGCTGCAGGTTTTCTTCTCTTTACGAATTCAGAGCATTTCCATGAAGCTTTTGAGAGTCAGAATGGCAGCAATTACCACCAAATGGCACAATAAACCTTTGTAAGCATCCATATACCTACAAATACCGATGATTAGGTCCTTCGAATTTAATGATCGGTTCCAAATTTTTTTTCTATGTCCGCATGTTTTTTCTACATCCGCATCGCTTAGATATAGGCATGCGTTTCTTTTGTGTTACACGTGCAACAAATTGAAATTATTATTATTTTTTTTTAAAGATGAAAAGTATTTATTTTGAAAAACATATGATTAGAAGATTCGAAGATGACAATCCGAAGATGAATATTCGCGTGGGCTGACAACATTTCCTGTTAACAGGTATTACAGCATGTGATTTGACAATTACAACATGGCAGATTGATAATCGCAATTTGGTGAAAACGCAACCTGTACTGTTTCCGAGGCTGATCAGACAAAAGTCAACCTTCTTCAGAAGAAACTTTTTTTTGGCCTGAAGCATTTCAAATCTAACATTTTAATTAAATTTGATACAGAATCGTACAATAAAACTTGATTTTTATTATTTAGATATGTTCTTCTCAAAGTTTTCACTTAGCGTATTAGAGTCAATAGGCACCAGATATATTGATGCGTGGACTAGCAAGACGTCCTGTTTTGATAAGACGCAGTTTTAGCTTTTCTCCGTGTAGTGAAACAGTAACTTAAGTTTCGAGGAACTGAGTAAATTATGAGGTTTTAACAAATAAAAAAAAAACCTAAATAACTTAAAATAGCACTAACGGCAAAAATAATACAGTAAATACATAACCCACCAAAACAGAAATAGCATTGATACAGTGTAATCCACGTTTTGTAATCAGAAAGACAACAAGCATAATAGAATATTTAAAACTGATGCTAGTGGCCATGGTATGTTAAATTAAAGTCATCAGGTTTTAGAGTCCACTAGAGTAACTCTTGTGTGAAAACTATAAGAGTAGTAACTGCACGGAAGAAGGGTTAAAAGTACCCTTTATTAACTCTTTAAAATTTATAGTGCGTTAACTCGACGCTAACAAAATACGCCTCTGCTTGGCGGTACTGAATCAAATTACTAACCAAATATTTGAAATATGTACAAGTCGTTGAACTAAAACAGAGGTCAGAATAATTCCTGTTCTTTAACCCCGTCGGAAACTAGTGGCGCAAGTAAACGCATTAAGCCAAGTGACCAGCAATAAATCTGGGGGTAGACGCTTACACAGAGGGTGACGGCGATATCTAACTCTTCTCTTTCCTACGGAACCTCGGTTTTTAAACTCTTTCTTCAAGGTGGAATTTGCATTCCTTCAAGCGCGCTACCAAATTTAAATATTCTGGCACTAACAATTAGGGGAATGAAGACTTATAGGAAAGAATAAAAAATTAAATAAAATTGGTTATTTAGAATAAATATAAATATCTACAAGGTTTTTAGCAGGAAGAAAGAGGCTGTAGTGTAGAATAGAAAAAAAGACTGTCTGTTAATATGTGATTGTCGTTTTGATCTGTCAGGTCACTAAATTTTCAATTTCTATGTCTGCCTGCCTTCTAATTTTTTTGTCTGCAGTGGCTTAAATTGCTGTAAACTAGTAAAGACTTAAAATAAAGTAATAAGACTTACAATGCTGCAAAGACTTAAAATAAAGTAATAAAGACTTAAAATGTTGTAGTCTTCATATATAATTTCCTTCGGCAGCCATAAAATGTATTAATTTAGGTTTTCTCTAAATCCGCACTGCCGTAAAGCGAATTTTCGCAGAGCGCAGATATCTGAAATTGCAGATTCCGACAAAATATCTCTTGAATATCTCCCTTAACAATAGTCTTCTATGTTATCTTTCTTCTTAAACTGGTCCTGTACTAACAGTTTTCTCATGAAGAGATGAGCAAGAAATTTCAGTAGAAAAGTCAGTTTGAGGAAATGATTTTGTTTTCGAAAACCTTTGCACGAGTAACAGATTTGTAATTTTCTTAGTAATTTATGTTAAAGGATCTAAATTTAAATCAAATTTGCAAGTTTAAAGCCGGTAACGAGAAAGAGGATGGAAGGAAGTTATTGATGCTATGAAATGTTTAAGCCGTTCGTTGAGTTATAGGAATCTTGATTTCTATTTCAAGTAAAGAGAATAAAGAACAGTCCATAATTCTTGACCGATATTCGTTGAAAGAAAGATTTTGTGGGCTTAGTATACCAAATGCACGAAAGAACAATATATTGTAACTCCCCTAGACGCTGCCATATTTCCCACACGACAAGTAATAATGAGTAAAATAAAGTGTCTAGTATATATTAATGCACTTAAAAAATAATGAAACTTTGACTACTTGAGTTTACGTACTAATTATATTAATCATATATATTTGAAAAGCTATGAAAATAAATTAAACTTTTGAATCAATCGGAGGAAATTGATCCCCAAACTATGAAACAATTAAATCATCTGTTTTAAGAAATTTATAAAAAAATGAGAAAAATGACAGATCCGTACTTTATTGAATTAAGACTGTAAAATAGCGGCTTACACCCGGTAAACCACGGCGTTTTGATTGATATCTTGATTGGGGCGTCTTTATTGATGACAAAATGTTGGGTGAACAAATGCGATTATTATTTTTGTTTAGAAATACATTAATACATGCTTTTTTTCAACGCAGAACCCAGCTCCTTATTTTTTCAGAGCTAGTCATAGGTATTTTGAAATATTTCCCGAATCCGACAACTTTGCGGTAGTTAAGTATCATATTAATAAAAGATTTTTTTACAGATAATTTGGTTAAATCTTTTGTTGTTTAACATTATTTTTCTTCGTTCTGTTAAAGCAAAAGCAGTGTTCAACAAACCAATGAATAAATTATAAATTATTAAACATATTTTCCTTAAGTAAAGTTTTTTCCAAATGTCTGAGTCTATAAAAGTGAGACGTAAATTGATATAGCAATGTAAAATTTTACCATTTATTCGATAGGGGAGCCGCGCTTGTAGTTTATCAAGAAAGCCGTGCACTCAAAAAGTGTATAAACCTCTGCTTCCAAACTACATAAAATAAAATGTTCGGTGTTTTCAAACTATTTATTTATTTAATTATTGACTTACTTGTGTAATTTTTAGTTTCTACTAAGTAAGATTTCTTGATACGCTACCAAAGTGATCAAGAAGTTCTTCATTTACAAAGATGTTTCTGTGAATGTATAATAATGTAAATCCATTTAATCTAGTACAAATATAATAGTACCAAAGCAAAAGACAAATAACATTATATAGGTTTTTCATTCGTCGAAATATGCACTGAATTTTAAAAACGTTGTTGTGACTCAGTTTTCAGTATCGCATTTTGAAAACAATGTTTGCTATCATTTTGAGAATATTGTCAATTCATTAGCCATGTATTGATGTATAAGCATTTATGTAGCATACTCATTAGGAAGACATATAAGGTATTTTCTCCCTCGACCCTAATTTCGTTTAGCATAAATTATGTCATGTAAATAAATGCAAATTTCAGTTCAAAACATCTTCTTCGTATTTTTCTGGAGGGAAAAATGTATTTTTGTAACATTTATATAAAATATTCCAGAAGCATACATCTCATCCCCTTCAGGAAGACAGGGATTAAAATCTTCATTAATTTTTCCGTATTTTAAAGTGTTGAAAAACTTGCACAAAAAAAAGACACATGTATGAAGGCTGCTCGGCTTTTCTTATTATGAAAGATTTTTGCCTGGAATCGTAAATTAAATACGAAGAGATTATCGCGATGCGACAAAAAAGAAAATTCGGGAGAAGCGAGGCTCATTCCGAGGTTTATTGCATCACGAAGAGACCATTTCTGTCCCGATGAAGGAGGAGAGGTGAGGTTAAACCTCGCCCATGCGCATTGTTGCCTTCATCGGCGTAGTGGATGAAGCTCTCGCTCGATGCTCTCAGAAGGGCTCTGGCAGCACGTGAAGGTCGCCGATTTGTTTACCCTCCACTGCGATCTTCTCATTCATCAGAAATTAGGTTTCCCATCCCCCTCCCTCCTAAATATCGGAAATAAGCAGTCGGATTTCAGCAGAGCCGCTGTCGGATTTGCACTTCTGTGCGAAAGTTTGCGAAATGAATCTAACTGCAAGTTTTGTTTATCTTAGTTTCATAAGATCAAAGCAACTTGTCCAAAGGTATAAGTATTAACTTAATTGCTTTCAAATTTGTTACTCTATAACATCACCAGAGTTTGGTTGACTTTCCAAAGATTTTTTTCGAAAGAATATGAATAGCGCAGCTGTCATTGGCAGACAAATTCGCCAACAAAATACAGGAAGAGCCCCTCCTGCTGGAAAAGGCCGACAAAGAGCGCTTTCTCATCAACCTTTGACGTCTTCTCAACTACAGCAGTTGCAAGCAAAGAAGGAAGAGGAAAAGAAGAAAGTAGGAACTATCGAAAGCATCCGTAGCAAGGTAACCGTCCAATGTCTATGGCTTACGTGTAAAGCTTTGAGCGGTGGTATGATCCTTCTAGTAATTGGCACTACAATGTCTGTAGTGGGCTTTTACGCCGATAGTCTGTCAACGGAAATCATTGAATCTGGAAATAGAACGATTGAAGTCACAAATGATGATAAACATTATCATCTTCATAACCTGACCTATGTTGGGCCTGTTATTATGGGTCTTGGGGGTTTTGTTATCGTAGCTGCTTTCGTAATGACATTTGAAAGCCACGATTCCAGCTCTAAAGTAGTACCTGTGACTGATGATCCGACAGATGGTTCTCTGCTAACTAGTCTATTAATAGAAGAAAAAGCAAAAGACAAACATAACGGACCTTCTTCGAGTGGACCATATTTGTGTGTACCCCAAGCTTTCGATATACCACAAAATCTAAGAAGACCATCAGTAACGCTGTCAAGTAAGCCTGTCAAATCTTCAACCACTAGTGATGAAGTTAAAAGTATATCAAAATCTAATGATGTATCAGTTGGCCGTAAAAAAGACTCCGCATCGCTCCAAGTTGCTTTACCAAACGGACCCAGTAAAAATGCGAAGCCACCTCCTAACTTACCTATTTTAAATCGAGAATACTGCTCCGCTCCGAATGGAAGAATGCGAAATCGAGAGCTAATGATGATGCAGTTGTGTCTGGATGAATTTGTACCTTCTCCTCAAGATATTGAGATAATAGATCCAGATGGATGCGATACACCCAATCGAGGAGTGGCTTCTTCCATGGACATGGAAGTTTATGTTTCAAACTGTCCCATCACTGTGCGAGTGCAAATAGAGCCTCGTCATTTGGCTTCTATGGAAAGTGATGGCTTATCAGACAGTGATATATCTGACCCAGGAGAGATTGCTCGCATTTCAAAGTGCGATATGGATTTTACCGAACAGCAGATGCCATTGCTTGGCAGATGCAGCCCAGCTTTCTCGTCTCCTGAATTTCGGCGAGGTACTGCACCGCTTTTGAAACGCGACTCAAGCCGGCGATTTCCCTTACTAAGGCAAGGAGCTTTGGATAGTGCCAGGGGATTGGAAGCGCAAGCTGAAACAACATTAGCCTGATTCTTTCTTCTTTTGGTTTTGGTTTTTGCTGTTGTCAATGAAGATTCTGCTGTGACGGAAAGACAATAATTTCGGCTTCTTAAGCAGAGTGTGCAGTGTATTTGTGTTCATTGTTAACTTAAAATGTCAGGTTCATAAAGATGGGTAGAAAAGGAATCGGACCAATGACACCTTTGACAAGGTAAGTAATGGCCCTGAGTTGCGCTTTTTGTATTATAGTATAGGTATTTACGTGTTTCTTTCCATTTTTAAAATAATGCCGTAATTAAAATTTTAAATAGATATGCACTTAATTATTTTGAATCGTTTTCACTCTGTTAAGCTTAAATGTTAGACAAATATCTTTTAAATTACAAGATTCAGATATTAATACAAGTCAGTGTTCTTATATGTTTGAATCTGTTGAAATGTCACTTTCTGAAATACCTAAATTAGCTGGATTTTCAGAATGCGAGTAAAATCTTGTTAGATTAAAATAAACGACTATGTCGCAGAGCTATTTGCAGCTACTGCAGTGTATTTATATTTCATATCGTGACAATACAATGCTTATCAGTGAAGCAAAATGAACCATTTTCTAATGATATTTTCATATGTTCAATGGCAACAAGATTATTAACTGAATTTACTTGTTGTTTGAATAGTGGCCACTGTGCAATGGTTTCACTATATCAGCAAATAAATTAATAAATATTGACTTTTTAGAAAAATAGAAATACTATAAATATATATTCTAACAGTATAGTTAATAAAAGACAGTCGTTGTGTCACTTATCTGAAGACATTTTGAATATATCTGCTATATTTTTATTTTGTCTGCCGTAAAGTGAAACCAAACAATAGTAATAAACTTCTGTAGCAGCATACATATCACAACTGCCTATAGATGTAAGAATTTAATTAAATATCATGAAATGGTAATACTTTAGTTTTAAAATGGAATGAAAATTTCGCAATATACCTTACTTTCTTTGTGTTTCAATGAAGTTAGGTTTTATTGTTTCGGAGACATTGCAGTTTCCATCTTATATATGAGTAAATATTTCTCCTCATAAAATAATTCGACTTGGAGTATTTTATAACCTGACGCTGCATAGGTATAAGTTCATGTCATTTGTCAGGTGTTAAACTAGAATCTGAAAGGTACTTCAAGTATTTAAAAATTAAAAAAATTATCAAAATAGTTCAGTAATAAAATAAATAAAGAACGAAAATTTAATGAGTTATTAAAAATAATAATGAAATCCACCTCACTAGATGTAACAAGTAGTAACAAATCTAGCTATCTTTATGAAAATTTTAATATTCAGATAATATATTCAGTTATAATATTAATAATGTAACTGAACTATTAATAGCTATAATATTTAATATTCAGCTTATATAATATTTAATTTTTAGTTATGTATAATCGTTATGAAAAGTTTAATATTCAGAAAGTTCAAGATATTTTGTTTAATAAGAGATGAAAGCTTCAGGAAAAGTAAATGAGGTTAATCATTGTAAAGATTTTAACTTTGAGACATTAAGTAAAATTAAAGCAATATTCGTAAATAATTATTCGTTTTATCCAAAACTATAAAGCAACAGAACTGACGTTAGAATATAGACCAAGTTCATAATGTCAATTATATACGGCAGATATGAAACAGGATTTAAAACAAAAATAAGATAAATTTTCGGTACGGTTCTCAGAAATATTTTTACGCTTACGCTATATTTTCCTGTAGAAATATTATACTGGATTTACTAACCTTTTGTTCTTCATTAAATATTAATTTAAGTTCTGTTTAGTCTAGAGCTCTTAATACTTTGCTTTTTGCTGCATAATTTTGCCCTAGATTTGGATACAGATTGGAATAATACTTAGTTTTATAAATTATATTAATTCGTTTAGCGTACACGCAATGAGCATTTTCGTTGCCACCTTCTTAAAAGTGCCGCTTGGAAATATAATCAGTATTTTGGAGAACATAAACACTGATATTGAAAATAAACTTTCTAAGGCGACAAACTCCTCTGAAGAGTAAAATCTTCTAAAATCGTAGGTGATTGCTCACGGAAGGTTCACTAATTACAACGTAGTTTCGTTAGATATTGATAATATTTCTGACGAGTTAGAAAATTTACCATTTTATTTCTTTATTTTCGTCATTTCCGTTTGGAATTTATTTATGTGGTGATGGTTTTCTAACTATAAACGCAGTTTGAAAAAAGTTCGTTTCAAATAGGATTTTGCAGGCTGTAATCGGATTCCTTTGTACCTTTGTTTCTAATTACATATTTTAATTGTGCATTTTAAATTCCTAGCTGTAATCGGATTCTTTTGTACCTTTGTTTCTAATTAGATATTTTAATTGTGCATTTTAAACACATCAAAAAAGTACCTGTATGTTATTTGAAGCACTGCAGTGTTTCGATATTTCCAAAATGCGGAAATATTTCAGCTTGTGTTAAATACTTTGACATTTTTAACGAGTAAACTTTAATTACTATTTTTTTATTTGATACTAGCTACCTTTAATGCACTGTTTCATTAATCAAGGAAGTTAACATCTAGTTGAAACTCGTGTTAATACAAAGCTAACCAACATCTTGCAAAACAAATAATTTAAGCGATATTTTTACCAAAAGTGCAAAAGAAATGCTATGTCTAATGTTTATCAAACCTTTATGTAAGGAACACCATTTAAAATAAAGTTAAGAGTATTTAAATGTTAAATGCATTAAATTATCAGCTAATTTATCTTTCACTATTTACCAAGGAAATTAATTTCAAAAGTTATTTCAAGGACATTTAATAGTAAATTTTTAATAACAATTCAACTATTTTTCACAAATTTGAATTTGAAAACATCATTAGCTCTATAAAATGAGTTTACAGATTTTGTGAAACAAAATGATGTAATCGCTATAATTAAAAGTGTACGATTTCTTTTCTAGCCAGTGCCACGTAAGTTTCGCTTCTTTCAGGTAAATTTCGTTTTCAGTTCAAACAAGCTTGTCTTGGCGTATTTGATTACGGCAAAGCAAGCGAGACCTACCTGCCTTAGGAAAGGGATGCCTCCGTGGAGGATTTTGTAAGGGAAAATAGTTCGTATCTATATTACATGGGGGAAAATACGAAAAGGTCTATGCAGCCAGCCCCATCTGCCGGGATTCGAACCACCGACCGAAATACCAGTGTTCAGAAACTTTACCACTCGGCCACTGGTGCGACCAGTTCAAACACTTAAGGATAAATAGAAACAATATATGCGAAACGGGGAATAAATTATTTTTATGATTGAATCTTGAATAAATTCAGTTAATTTAATTTAATAATAATTTAATTTAATTTAATTAACGGAAATTTACATGAAAGAGCATTAATTTTCAATTAACAGTTATAAATTGTGAAAATAACATTAGAAAACGCGTGTCTTGTTTAAATGGAGGTTCTGAGTATCTGAATCGTTGAGGTTTATGTGAATACGATGCGCATTTGCATGCAAATATGGACATCTGTGTTACCAGAACAATGTATTTCCAGAATCAATGTAATTTATTTTTAATAATTTTTTAATTAATTTAATTAAGGGAAATTTACATGAAAGAGCATTAATTTTCAATTAACAGTTATAAATTGTGAAAATAACATTAGAAAACAAGCGTGTCTTGTTTATGAAATGGAGAGTTCTGAGTATCTACTGAATTCGTTTTGAGGTTTATGTGAATACGATGCGCGTATTTGCATGCAAATATGGACATCTCGTGTTACCAGAATCAATGTATTTTCAGGAATATTTGTATTTAAAAACATAAATATTGATTTATATAGCTTATTCAGTTGCAAATATTTTCTTTTCGTCATTTCAAGCGAAAGTCAAAGGAAAGCAACACGAACATTGATCTAATGGTGAGGTGAATAAAACATTCTTTTGTTTGGTATAGGATATAATTTCGCGTTTAAAGTCTTAATTGTTAAAATGGTAATTAGTTATTAGTTCTGTAAACTCCCACTCAGCAACTAACGATTTACCCTTCTTAAGGCATAGTGGTAGCGAGTTATAATACAGCAATTTATTAAATAGTTATGCTTTTATTGATGATGCTTTAATGAGGGTGAAAAACTGAGAAGATATGGATTCTAGTTAGCGTAGCGGAGATTTCGCATTCGGATCAACTTCTGTCCATTCAAGGTGTAATTCCTATTTTGTAACTATCAGCTTTCCTACACAAAATTGTTGTAACTATCAGCCTTCCTACACAAAATGATCGTGAACAGAGGCTAACAACAGCCCGAAACTTAAGCTCTCGCGTATGTGTTCTCTTTCATCTCATCTTGCGATACATCTTAGGCAATATTTTCCGTTTTCAGACAGGTGAATACTGGCCGTTATTCTTGTAAACTTCTAACTCGCAAATGTCCGTCGGTTAGCGTAAAAATTAACATCATGTAATTATGAGTTAATTTTTATGCACATGAATTCTTAAAAAAACGATTCTGCTATTGACTGTCTTCTGGATTTTGTAATTTATGACAGATTCGATTTACTAGGAAAGTAAACAGAAGACTTTGTTTTACAGTTTCTAATTACTAATTATTAAATTCCGTTTCAGTGTCTTGTATCATATTTATTACTTCCTTTTTAAGTTAGAGATATATATTATTTTATAATTATATCTTTTCTTATGTTATCGATTTTATTCACACCATTCCATATAGGGATTGTATTAGTGTTGCGTAAAAGTCAGTAGATTTTCTAGTAAAATAATGAATAGATATTTGGAGCTGAATAATTATAATTACGTTTTCTTTCCAAATCATGTAGAAGCGGTTGAATAACAGCCGCTTTACCAAATACTTTAAAAGCCTGTGCATTCTCACCCGGTGCAATCCGTGGCAAAAGATACTACGCAGTAACAATTCATATCGTTAAAAAAGTCTGTAATTCTACGGATTCATAGGAAGTTCGCGAGCATTCTTTATTTTGATACTGCAATATTCTTCATCCTGCTAATAATAAATGAAAATAATCTTAAATTTACTCGATAATATATGAAACATTCAAAATTTAAGTATTTAAAAATATTTTTTATGATGATATACATCAAGTTTACAACTTCTTACTGAGAAGTATTGCTTTTCTGGTGGTGTTTTTTAATTTACTTGAACGACTATTATTATAATCCTGATGT